TTGTGACTGCAACCCCATTTCCTTCACAATATGTTTTATCCAACTAATTTGATTTACTAAATATCATTTAGAGGAAATGTAATCGTGGCCTGGACTCTGATTACTGGCAATGACTTTTACAATCTAGGAAATGTGATGTTCTCATACTACACAGTAGCCATGGGGAGGAGGAGGTCAGGGGGCTTTGTCCAATGTGACCAGACCACGATTTATTCACCAAATGTTTATGGCTATGTTGCCTTCATCAGGGATGTGTCTGAGGTTATTTACAGTTTCTATTATATAAAGTCTCATTGATCGGTCACGTGACTCAGGGGCAGGGCTAGAAAGATATTCATGGGGTGTCCAGAGGGTGGAAGGGAGACTTTAAGGGGTGGCAGAAATATCTGCTTATTTAATCACAAACAATCACATATATAAATAGCATTGAATAGAAATATCTAAAAGTGGCATTAGAAATGAATAAACCATATTATTTCCACATTTTCCAAATCTTTATTGAAATTAAGCCTATCACATAGTCTAAAATATGACCGTACGTATACGACCGTAATATAACGTACTTGTTTTACTGGTGGCAGCCGCTCTCGAGCCATCCCAGATGTTATTTATGGATCACGAAAAATATAGAATGTACAAAACAACATTATCATTATAGTTTTCTAACACTTTAAAAAGTATTTATTCAGGGTGTCTACAGAAATGTACAGAGAAATCAATGACGATACTGTAAATATATGTTTAAAGGGCGGTATAAGTTAACATTACACAAGCCTTTTTTTCTTCAGCTGACTTCACCGTACTCTTTCAACGCTACTCTTACAATCGGGCTGCCCAAAATGTGTCTTCCAAAAGGTTTGATTTTGCCCGCCAGATGTTCCTAACAATAAACAATTAAAAATGAATTTAAAAATTATAGTTTGGTGTATTTCTTGAGAGGTAAAAATGCTCTTTATAAATGAAGGATCCCTAACGGGCGGCTGTGGTTTAGAGGCAGAGCGGGTTGTCCACTAATCGTAAAGTTGTTGGTTCGATCCCCGGCTCCTCCTGCCACATGTTGAGGTATCCTTGATACTGACCCCGAATTGTGAATGTGTATGAATGTGTTAGTTTCTGTTTGATGGGCTGGACGTGAATGTGGCACGTAGTGTAAAAGCGCTTTAAGTGGTTGGAAGGTTAGAAAGGCGCTGTACAGGTCCATTTAATTATTTTTATATATTAAGGGCCCAAACACTGACCGTGCGAAGGCCCTATTGTAATTGAAGGAATTCTTATTTTTCCTCCCAAACTAACGCATATTTGGAGGTCGCAACATGCTCGAAAACTCATGAAACGCGGCACACATGTCAGTCATGGCAAACATTTTTTTATTTTTTAGGAGTCCTCTATGAGTATGGCAAAATGGCCCTTCAGGGGCCCATAAACTGCACCACCCGGGGCCCCTTTCAACGATATGCATAAAAATCGGCACACGCGTAGATCTTATCCAGACTAACAAAAAATCCTATAGGCGCTATATCCCAAACCCAACAGGAAGTCAGCCATTTTGGATTTAGCGGCTATTTCTGGCGATTTGCACTCGTTGTATTGAAACGAACCGAACAAACTCCTCATAGGGAATTGATTGGATCAACTTCATATTTGGACGCAGCCATCTAAAGACATTCACGATTAAAAGTTGTGCTATTTACGTCATTCCGTTGAACGGCGTGACCGTGGTGTACCGTGGAATTTCAACGACTCACCATGAAAGAGGGATTTGTCATAACTTCTGCGTACACGATCTCAACTTCACATGTCTGATAAGAGTCCCACCCTGAACACATCTATGTGATAATATTCAGTAATAGTGAGAGCGCCACCTAGTAGTGACAGGAAATGTCATTTTTTATACTTCCATATTGTACTCCTAGCGAGATGAGCAGATCTACCTGAAATTTAGTCAGGAAATGCAAAACATGTTTTTGATAATATTTCATGATTGTGGGGAGTTTTTGTCAAAGGGCGTGTCCGTGGCGTGGCATCAAATTTTGATGTAGCGCCAGAACGCACAAAGTTGCTATAACTTGAGTGTACATTGTCCAATCGTCTCCAAACTTCACTTGTCTGATAAGAGTTCTGCCCTGAACACATCTATGTGATAATATTCACTAATAGTGAGAGGGCCACCTAGTGGTGAAAGGAAATGCCATTTTTATACTTTTATGTACTTCTTCCAGCAGTTTGACCAGATCCAGCTGAAATTCTGCCAGAAGTTCCTTAGGACGATGCCGATGACATCTTATGAATGTTAAGAATTTGCATGGACCCATGTTGCCATGGCGACGCGGCAAAAATCTGCTTTTCTGTTAACATTTGAACACTTTTGGGGGGGCTAAATATGCCCGAAAACTAAACTTTGCACAAAATTCAGTCGTAGCGAACGCTAAGGTACTGTCTTGGTCCTGTAGATGGGCGTCGCAAAATGGCTTAGCCACGCCCCCCAGAATCAGCCCCCAAGACACGTTTGACCAACATTTAGGAAAATTGGTACACATGTGTATCATGATTGGACAAGCAAAAAAGCCACTTGGACCCATAACCCAAACACAACAGGAAGTCGGCCATTTTTAATTTCGTGGTCATTTTCGGCGATTTGCACATGTTGTATTTGAACAAACTCCTCCTAGAGAATTTATCAGATCAACGTCAGATTTAATCAGCGCAATCTAAAGACATTCATGATTAAAAGTTGTGCTATTTATGACATTCCATGGCGTCCAATTTTGACAATTCGCCATGAAAACGGAAGTTGTCATAACTTCAGTGTACATGATCCGATCTCAACGAAACTTTGCGTTTGATAAAAGTCCCGCCCTGAACACATCTACATGACAATATTCAGCTATAGTGATGGTGCCACCTACTGGCAACAGGAAGTAAGCGCTGCATCGCGATTTTGATCTGATTTATGTGAAATTTTCATGTTATGGTCTGCATGTGTTACGCTGGCACATGACATATGCGAGGGCCCGTTCATCGCTGCTTGCAGCTTTAATTATATTTATATCATCATCAGAGCATACACTTGACACTTTGCGCAGGAAGTCAGTCAAGGCAAACCATTTTGCATCTTTGTAACAATATAATGCAGTAGGTGTAGGGCCACCATTAAGTTTCAGTTTTTGCCTTCCAAGGGAAAAAGTCTTGGAACTCTTGGTCTACAGTTTACCTAACACATCCATGCTTTGCATTGAAGCTCACACTGGTCTGGTTTAGGCTGCAACAACACTTAGTTAAGGCTATTAAAAAATGGTGGCTTTGATTAGTATTGATAAAATTAACACGTCTTTAACTCTTTAAAGTTGTGTTTTTATATTTACAGTGAAGACCACCATCCTTACCTGACTGTACATAAAGATATTTTAGGTTTTAGTAATCAGGAGTGAATAATGTTGGAGACAGGATCGGATAATGATGGATTACAGTCACTGTTCTCCAATCAGCTATTACAATAACGCAGAATATCACAGTATCACAGCAGCATTTTAATGTGTGTATCATTTGCATATAGCGTTCATGTTTGTTAATTGTTTGATTCCCTCACAACAAAGATTGATTGAAAACAGAGACAACAGTGTTCAGCAGCAATCTCTCACATATATCTCGCATTTCAGAGTCTCTCAGCACTTCAATGGAACATAAGTCAGCGTAACTCAATACTAAACAAGACATGTTCACACACTTATTGTCTTTATCACTGCAGTTCAGCAATGTGAGCAGCAATATGACTTCCAACCTGCTTTATACCGAATATTGGGACCTTTATCATATATAGCATATCATAGCATATCACTCCCAGCTCGTCAAATACTAATGTGCTTCAAAATATAACTATGTAGGTACCCTTCTAGCATCATTTCTATACGTGCAGGGATCCGCAGTAAAGTGAAGAAGAATAAATATTCATTCAATATATAACATCCAGTTAGACTTTCAAATGAATGCTTGCCTGGTCAGGGGCACGTACAGGGAAATCTTATTGGCCACCCTGGTACCACCCCATTATTCTAAACTATGATTGGCTTTCATTTATAGTTGGAATGGCCCAGTCACACATGCATGAATGCAAAGGATTGATAATCGCCGCCACACTCTTTGCCCTTGGTTGAGGCTACAACTTTGTCAGTCAAACTTTACCAAAGTTGAACAGCAGGTAAAGAAAAAAGGTAAATTTGCGCATATATGACCATGCTCTGATTCACTCTTAAACATGGGAAGCAGCAATATTATATTTTCTTGGTGGCACAGATTGGTCAATATATTATCTTTAAATCTATTAAAATACGAAACACGAGAATGTAAGAAAGTTTAAGATACTGTAATATTAGCAATTACAGTAGATATGAGTTTTGGGAACAGAATTGGTAAATCAGTGGTATTATGATGTCTACATTTTTCCGCCACTGCTGCATAAGCCAGTGCTCCATTTGGGCCACGCCAGTCACACCACTGTCAGTGGTTAACGTTGTGAAACATTACAGTTTGGTTAAGCTTAGGCACGAAAACTACTTGGTTAGAATTAGGATCGTTAGTGATGTTATAGACCTGACGAGTGAAGTTTATTTACATTAAAGAAGTGGTCTCCTGGGTTAAAGGTCATCCATCCACCTCCAGATGCAAACTTTCAGGCATTTTATACTAGTCACTTGACTTTTGCAATGGTTGAGTGCAGAAATTATGCTAGACGGATGCCGAATTTATGACCTGCCCTACTCTCCCTCTTATTGCCAATCAGAGGGAGAGTAGGGCGGGTCATTGCTTTGTCATCCTGGGAAAATAAATATCACTAATAGGATACCTATACCTATAGCAATTATTTTGAAGTGGGGGGTACTGATGTGGCTGCAACATTCGATAAATTGGGAGTTCAGCAGGTTTTGTGGAATAATTATCTGTGTCAACCCACTGTATTAGCCTATAACCCTCCCACCACAGGCTCCAGTCCCTCCCAGTCTTACCAGTTTGTGTTTGGAGTCGGTGAGGTGCGTCTCCTCGTAGCTGTCGTCGTGGGCCGTCCAGCTGTAGGACACCAGGAAGTGGAGGATGGGCGGGTGGTAGGTGATCTCAGGACGAGCCCATCGCACCACTAGAGCGCTGCTGTTCACGTGCTGCACCTTCATGTTGATGGGAGCACTGCTGCAGACTGGGAGGAGGATGGAGGCAAGAACGGAAGAAAGAAAGGAAGGATGGAGGGGCGACAGAACAGAGGGGAGAGGAAGGGAAGACATGGAGAAATAGAAAAGGGGGATAATAATGTAAAATAAAAGTATAGAAGAGAAAATAGGGGTTAAAAAAGTGGAAAGGATGGAGATGAAAAAGGACAGTCAAAGGAAGGACAGAGGAAAGGAGGGAGGAAAGAAAGGATAATGATATAGGATTGAAGGGGGGTTGAAAGCAGGAGACGAAAAGGAATAGAGAGAAGGAGACAGTCAGAAAGGAAGGAAAGTGGTAAGGAAGACATTTAAAATGGAAGGGTGGAATTAAAGAAAACCAGTGAACCGAAGGATGGAGAGAGAGAGGTAAAGTCAGATGACGAAAGGAGGGATGAGAAAGGGAGAAAGGCACGGATGAAAGAATGGACAGGAAAATAAGAAATAAAAGGAGTGATCATACAAGAAAAATGAAGGATGTGCAGGAAAAAAGGAATAAATGAGATTTAAAGGGAGAAAGAGACAAAGAGAGATAATTTAATGACAGAATGCATCGGCTCAGTTTATCTTCCAAATACACCCAGACAGAGAGAGAAAGGGAGAGAGAGAGATAGTGAGTGTTGTGTGTGCGTGAGTTGTATTCATGATGTGTTATTAATATTGCTGTGACACTCTGAGTGATCCAGACACACACACACACACACACACACACACACACACACACACACACACACACACACACACACACACACACACACACACATATAGGTTTTGTCTAAAGGGTCCAATAACACAAGTTCATATACAGTCACCTTCGGGCAAAATACAGCCAACCTGCTCTGCCTTCAAATATCTGGCGGTGGGAGATATGAAGACAAACACATAAACATTGTATGTTTTATTATGAATTTAACGACACACACTCTTGCATACTAACCCTCCATTCATGCTGATAGGAGCAGCCCCGCACCAGCGGCTGCTGACCACTAGATGTCTCTGTTTGACCAGTGAGATGTTCTTCTGAGCTTGGGCACACTATTGATGGAGTATTTGATTCCACATATTGGATATTTTATAATTAGGAGTGTAAATTCTCAAATAGTGGCCAGGGATCAGGCCTTTATATGAGACAGGTTTCTCATTTTGCCCGTGTATGTCGCATTTGCCTTCCTGTTTTCTGATCTGTTCTGAACATCTGATGCTGTTTGTGCAAAACCAATGCGAACTTCCTGCACATTTACCAGATTTTTGTGATATATTCAGTGTAATGCAGATTTTTACAGACAAACTCCATCAGTATAACAACAGTCATGCAATCTTTTCTAATAGAACTGTCTTCATTCACTAATTATCTACAGCTTTCCTTCCATTTTGCAATCGTTGTCAGTATACTGACACTTCCTGTACAGATGTTTCACAGTAAAAGCCTTCAAGCTACTCAGATGAAAGTTTCTCTGATGGTGACTTTAACATCAAAACATAAAAAAAAAGGCAGAGTAGAAGTGACCTTAATTAAAGATTGGAACAGTTTGTGTATTAAAAAGAGATCTAAGCAGCAGAGTATGACATGACTCTGTTGCACTGATGGAATTAGTGGTATGGAAATTTACATTATAAGGAACAGCAAGATTGACTAAGTAGCATCAGTGAATCGGATACAGTTAAGGACAATGCAAAGATCAACATCAGTAAAATCCAATTTATTTATATATAATCATTATAGGCCCTATGCATTTAGAAATGTGACCAATAATTGTATAATTAGATTAATCCCTCCTCTCTAAACTGTTTCTAAAGCAGCTTAAGAAGAACCAAAATCTGTACCATATCGAATTGCATAGTGTCACATTCTTCATTAATAATGGTGACTCATATCATGCAGCATTGGTAGTTGCTACAAATGTATCTTTAATGGATGGATTGATGGTAATGCATTGAGACGGAGATACACGTCCCTTGTATTTATCTCATGAAATACTGGATAATTTTTCCTTTTCTGTGACCTAAAATATTCAGAAAAATAACATCAGGAACAACATCTCTCTTTTTTTATAGTAGCTATATGGCCAAAAGGGTTTTAAGGCTGTTTTTTCATGGTTTTGGCTAGGCCCTTTGTGGCAACAGTTTTGGGAAGACTGTTCCTCTTTCAACATGACAATGCCCCCATGCAAAGGTGTTAGGTTTGCTGTGGAAAAACTTGACTGCCCTGCACAGAGCCCTGACCTCAACTCCATCCAGCACCTTTGGGATGAACTGCAATACTGATTGCGAGCCAGACCTTGTTACCCAACATCTGTGTTTGACCTCACTAATGCTCTTGTGGCTGCATGGGAGCCGACCCCTGCAGCCAGGTCCAACATCAGGTGGAAAGCTTTCAAACAAGAGTGGAGGTTGTTAGAGCAGCCGATTAATGATGGAGTGATACATTTAATGATTGCATATGTGAGGAATGTTCAGGTGTCGACATACTTTGGTCAAGGTGTCTGTAGTGTTACTGTTAAACAGCAATTTGTCGCACTACTCACTGCTGGAAAAGAGGGAGTAGCGTATTACCATCGAACAATGCATATAATGATTATTCCAAACACTGTATCATATTATGCAAATGCATCAGGTAATTCGATGATGAACACGAGTTGATTGAGAATAGGGCTCACGTGCCTGGTGGAACCAAATTGATTAGCTTGCTCATAAAGAGCTGTGCTGGAGTTTTTCTATTCATAACCTGCAGTCGCGCCCCATGTGGCTTAGCATTACTAAAGCCATTAGTCACACGCACACAAAAGCACACACACTCTCAAAGTAGAACACACACGCGCACACACAGATGTCATTTTGGAAGTTTAGCAGAGAATGACCTCTATGCAGGGAAAACGTATTTAACAGATTATATTAACCTGGGCCCAGTCAGCCATTCCCTTTGCGTGTGTTTTATATGTATTAAACATTAATACCACCACAACTGCAGCCCTAAAAGCATGCACATTTACAAATTGAATTAAAAAATAATAATTTAGGTGTAAAATTTTGAGGTCTGGAGGTCCTGCCCACTGTTGTTGAGGTTTGCACATGAACCAATTGGTCTGTCTCACTGTCAATCGACATGTCAACAGCCATTGGCCTTAGAAGCAGAATGAACCATCATGCTTGTTCTTAACCCATACTTGTGTATTATTAAAAATTCCCCAGGGGCTGGGCAGCAGGGTGTGGTAACTTCCACGCACTGGAAAACAAGTGGCTGTAAAACGATGAATACATTTTTCAGAGAATTATATAATCAGAATTTAATCTGTTCAGTATAGTGATATTTGGACAGTCTAGAGGAGCCTTATGATTAAAGTCCCACACATGCTCCTAACTGGTTTGGCTGGAGATGGAATTTAGTGCTCACGCTCTGTGGGCCCAAAAACAAGGAAGGTTTTTTTGGTGTACGCTCCCTCAAGTTTTATTTCAAGTTTGGCGTCTCAAGGTTTAAGACACCTTTGGAGTTGCTGCATTTTTTAGCTATTGTGGTTTTTCTTTGATTTTTGTGCAAAGCTAGTCAAAACATGCTGGACCTCTTAATGGAATTATTTATGTATTAGTGTATTTAAAGCTTCAGTAGTTATGAGAAAACAGTCATATTTTCTGAACAGTCGTACATGAGAAAGAAAATCTGTGAAAAAATCTGGTTCTTCTGGCTCCTGCTAGTGCTCCTAATGGCATTGCAAGAATCCACAGCAGCTGAATGAAAACAACCAATGGGCCTAAGAAAAAGAGTTCATTGCTTTGGGACCTGAGAATAAGACAATCAGCTATCTTTCGTCTTCTCGTTACCTTCCACAGGCTCAACAAGAAACAGTTATTGAGGAAATCATATCAAATAATGTTGCAGCTCGCCTCCGACTGCTTATTACTATAACTATTACATGTTGTAATATGCCTATAGTTCAATACACTGTATTGAACTATATATTTTATATAATAATGTTTTATTGAGATCTTAAAATAAGAGTAAAAAACATATGGTTGATCTCACCTTTTGCTTTGGTTTGATGATCTCCCACAGGCCCACCTAAATTAATATTTCTGACTACTAAACACTCCTGTAAATGTGCCTCCGTCACCAAAATACTAGTGCCTTTATGTTATGAAGCCATTTAAATAAATGTTTTATCTTAATCAGGGTGAGATATCGGGTTCATCTAAGATTCAGTAATCTACTAGAAAGCGTTATTGTGTCAATCTGAGATGCATTGCTTGTGTTAAAATCAGTGGACCTACTGGTTGAATTGCGATACCATCGGGATAAAATCCTTGGGTAAAGCTGTTGTAGCTCACATGGTCCTTTCACCTCTGTGTCAGGATTAGGCAAATTTATGTGTATTTAATGTTTATGTGTGTATTATTGTATGTGTCTTTCTGAATGCACTCTGTTTTTGCAACATTGTTACAACTCACTTTGTGTAACTGAAAGGGTTTTGTAGCCCATGTGTGTCTGGCAGGGTGATGAAGAGACCCTCTTAAGGCTTTCATCAAAGATAAGCGGGCCATCAAATGCATGTGCACACACACATACAGGAGAGAGGTCTGGATAGCAGTGAGTGATGGAGACTAGGGCCCAATCACACAAAACAGAACATGGGTAGAGGAGGTGTCTGACACAGGTAAAACCAACCCTCTCTCTCTCTCTCCCTCTCTCTCTCTCTCCCTCTCTCTCTCTCTATCACTCTCATGACTCTCTAAGATGCCATTTAGAGGAGGAAAGGACATCTTTGGCCCTGCAGCATGTTGACCACAGCTGATTGATGACCAGGTCTTGATTGTGGGTCAGTTTGCCGGGTTTTGCACCAGGAGGGATTGGGTGAAAACTCAGCCACAGTACTATACAGGATTCACTTCTGTTAACATGCACCAATGAATCCTTCTTGACACTGTTAATGAGCAGCCAAAACTCTTAGGGCTGGTGTTCATATTTTTACTATGTTTGAGTGTTAAAGAACAGTTGGGAAGG